AACTCTTACCTGATAAACAGTAATGAACTTTTTTACCAGACAAGGCTTAAAGATAGAAACTAGTGAATCTCTAAGTGGTATGACAGGCAAGGGTACGCCTCTGGAGAACAACAGTGTTTTTTAACAGGATAAAGTAATGTTCCTCTGAACATGCCTTTTTCCTAGCTGAGTTGTGGATTTAGGGGAAACAGGGCATTATCGTTACAATCAGTTATAAGGATGAGGCTTAGAACAAGTCCCGTTTCAATCACCTCAGCAAAGATCAGCACCTCATTGCACACAGTCACCCATATTCGACCCGTGTGCTGAAAACCACATGTAGAAATGGTTAACGGCTTAGAACTTCACATGGCAACATCTGATTGTGATTTCCGAATTAAAAATATTCACCCCCGAAATCTGGCCTTCCTGAAAACCATTGTTGTCTAGATAATGGGATATTCTGCAAATCAGCTGGGCCAATTTTATCAGGTAATTTGTATCTGCTTAACTTTATTCAAGTGGTGCTGCTCATATATATACTAAATGATGATGTCACCTAACAATTTTATGTTACTTATTAAAACCAGACCTAAGATCACTTTAGAACTTCTACCAAAGCTGGTATGTATCTGTGCTTCCTTGACTGCCCCTTTGATGTAAAGAAAAGTTTTTTCTTCAATATATATCTCTTTATAATATAATCTCATTTCAATGCAGTACTGTCTCCAACAATTTGATTCATTATTCTGAACCACTGATACGGCGTATGTCATACTACCATCCTTGTCTGATCACACAGTTCCTTACATCATTCTTATAGATCATTTTTGTACCTTATCATCTCTTTCCAGCTTTGGCATTCCATCATCCTTGTCAAGATCTGGAAGTGCAGCTGAGGATATGGTAGTACCCACAAATCAATAGTGGGTAAGTGACATTTTAAAGTGTCAGACAGCAATATGTTTTATTTATTCATTGAAGTTCAATATGTAAAACTCAAAATACACATGAAATATGTTGAATCTTTATGTAAACTTCTAAAAAGAAAAGTGTTTATTGCAGTTCTAATGTAGAACCAAATGTTGAAAAAAGAGTTCTTGAAGAGTAATCTTGACACCTCAGTGCTACAAGGCATTACAATACAGGTCATTGGTATTGCAAGTCAGGGAGTCTTATAAGAGCAACATGACTTAGAACAAATTTTTTTTCAGACTGGCTGCTTTAAGTATGAAGTTTGTCGTTATTCAGCCAGTAAATTACCTGATTTTCACATGCTGGTTACCCAGGACTATATCTAGTCTGCTTTCGAGATTCATTCCTTTAAAGGCAACCCAGACTGGAAAGATTTTAGGGTCCCATAGTTGGGGGACTAGACATAAGATGCCTTCAAGCACAACAGCCACCTCATAAGCCCTGTCAGCATCTTCTCTTAAGGGCTTTTCAACACTTCTCCTGCATCCTGTCTTATCTGTATCATGACCGAACATGGGATAACTGATACTTACCATTATCTGAAACTATCTCAGAACAAATGAAAGGAATTGAAAAACTTGTGCTAGGCGACAGATCCTGATGAACAGATTAAGAGCTATACGAGGCCGTTTAGTTAGAGTGCTGTTTGAGGGCCCCATAAAGCCAGTCTGTACAATTCATTAGGCATCCTGATGGGACAAAGTGAAAAAGAAGCTGTAAGACCTGATTTACCTTGGTGCTTCTCCCTGTCATCCCAAACAGGCCACGGTCATGATGGCTCAGGGATTTTCCAGGAGGTCCTAGAAATGGCTGTAATATTCCCTAGCATGGGGATGTAACATACTGCATAGAAACTAGCCATTCCCGAGGAAGTCAAAGAGCAAAAGCTAGTTTTTCCTATAAGCATCTAACAATTTTTCTTGTCTATCCAAATTTAGCAACTAATAAAGAAAAGCAGCAGCATAATCTATAGTGGATATTGTATAGCAAATACAGTGGTCTAAAGTTATAACTCGGAATGTTAATTCTGTTGGATTTTCCCTATAGTTTTATAAAATCACCACAGGATCTTTAGTGACAGCAAACAGTCATAAGGTGAGTTTTATCTCTCATCTGAAAGAGATGAATCAGTTTGCTTTTATACAAGGTTAATGTTTAAATTATTCACTTCCTAACCAGTCATCAACAATCATAGAATGGTTTGGGTTGGAAGGGACCTTAGAGATCACCTAGTTCCAACCTCCCTGCCACGAACAGGGAAACCTTCCACTAGACCAGGCTGCTCAAAGCCCCATCCAACCTGGCCTTGAACGCTTCCAGGAAGGGGGCATCCACAGCTTCTCTAGGCAACCTGTGCCAGTGCCTCACCACCCTCATAGTGAGGAATTTCCTTCTTCTATCTAATCCAAATCTACCCTCATTCAGTTATAATTCATTGCCCCTTGTCCTATCACTCCATGCCCGTGCAAAAAGTCCCTCTCCAGCTTTCTTTTAGAGCAGCCTTTCAGTACCTGAAGGGGGCCTAAGGTCTCCCTGGAGCCTTCTCTTCTCCAGGCTGAACAGCCCCACCTCTCTCAGCCTTTCCTCACAGGAGAGGTGTTCCAGCCCTCTGACCATTTTTGTGGCCTCCTCTGGACCCGCTCCAACAGGTCCATGTCTTTCCTGTGCTGAGGGCTCCAGAGCTGGATGCAGTGCTCCAGGTGGGATCTCACCAGAGCAGAGCAGAGGGGCAGAATCCCCTCCCTCGACCTGCTGGCCACACTGCTATTGATGCAGCCCAGGGTATGGTTGGCCTTCTGGGCTGCCAGCGCACATTGCCAGGTCATGCTGAGCTTCTTGTCAGCCAGCACCCCCAAGCCCTCCTCCTCAGGGTTGCTCTCAATCCTTTCTCTGTCCAGCCTGTGTTTGTGCTTTGCAAAATCTATATTGCTTTGCAGCTAGGGACCAGGTTCGCAAACAGGAACTACAAGCCCGAGTGTTTCCGTAAGGTACTTACAGGCAACATTTCGGCACTACTGACATTCACATTCCTGTAGCTTGTTAGCCGCTTGCTGTCCTATGAACCTAAAACTTTTAGGGCCCGAAATGTTTGCTGATAAAATCCCATAGGTAGTTCCATTTCTGCTAACGGGCACATGCTTTATGAGGAGAGAACCAGCCAACATTGCCCAACGTTAGACCAGCACATTTGTGATAAAACACCTTGCTGAAGGAAGCTTGTCTCAAACTAGTTGGCTGAGCTTCAGACAATCTTGCAAATCCAAGTAAGCTAGTAGTTCTTAAGGCCATCAATCCTATAGATGATTTAGTTTTTCTTTATTTCAGAGGATCTTTGAAATCATCTATCTCAAAGAATCTAATGAACGCACTTTTTTTTATTAGGATCACTGTATTTAATTTGAAACCTCTTGAATGAATAATTCCAGACTGGTGTTAGAAATTCTTTTTACAGTAACAATAGTGTATCACATTGACACTTATAGGCCTGGATTAGAGCTCAGCTAATTTTCTAAATCCAATTTCTTGTTATCTTTAAGTGTGTGTTTGGAATTGTTCATGATTTTGTAATGAAGGCTATTTTTTATGCAACATACAGCATGATCATGTAAAAGCAGAAAAGACAAGAAGAGTTAGAAAGTAGTAAGTTAGAGTTCAGAAAAAAAATCCAGATGGATTTCTTTTGGCTGACAATGTTACACAAAGATTTCAGAATTAAAAATTGAAGGCCTCAAAGTCTAGATACAAAGCTTACTCTAAATCTCAGTGACCCCAGCTTAACCTCTCAGAACTCCACAAGCTTTGGGAAACATTTTGGACAGACAACCTGAGATAAGAGTATAATTTTAGTTAAAAGATATCACTGCTCTTCTTTCAATTTAATTAAGGAAGGAGTTGCCCAGAGGTATAAATTTTCACCATAAAGTGTTTCACTTATATTCCACTCCACTGTGAGAGTGAAACTTTGTACTATCATAGTTATAGTACAAAAACTGTGGATCTTTAACAGAAAAGTTGACTTTTGCTAGGAGGTTGTAACATCTCATTGTACATTAATTTAGTGGCATCTTTTAAAAAAAGGAGCACAGCTTCTATCATATTTTTTACTACTGATGGATGACATCAAGAATGGCTTCTTCTGAACTAAAGAACTTGGAGGTTGGTAATTTGGTTACTTGGAGGATAGTTCCATTTCTTTACTTAAAAGTGACCAACATTTATAAACAGCCAAATTATTGTTTTACCCTGAGCTGTCTTTTACTTTTTCCTAATAGTGATGTAATAAGCTGGTCTCAGTTACTAGATAGTTTAGGTGGAGGCGAAAACTCTGTGTGAACTTTGACTAGGTTGCAATATCTTAAATCTCCAAAAGAAGGAAAGAGAGTCAGATATTGATTGTAACTAGAGTACTTATCTCTGTCCCTACTCCAGATTGTATGACAAGTGACTTAAACATCTATATGTCTGTTTTCCCAGTGGAAGAATAGCTAAGGGAGTATTTGCTTCTACATAATTAATATTTGAAAAGTGTAATACATGTGGAATCTATTAAAACTACATTTTCTGAATATAGTTCTCTCTTTACTGCAAGGTTGCATTGCTAATTGTCTAAAAGCATTTTCAACAGAGCGTAATATTACAGATCATAGCTTGTACATTAATCCATTTGTGTTTCTGCAATTTTTAAGTTATAATGAACTTTAGAAAAGTGAATACTCCATGAAATGAATATTTGGTAGGGAAGAAAGAAATCTGTTGTGTACATCACAGGCCAGCAAAATTTTGCATTTTATCCAGAATGTTAAAGTGCATTCCTCTGGCTAATTTGTTGAAAGATTCAGTCTGCATTTAGTCATATAATGTCAGTGAAATAACCCTATGACTTTGATCTGCCTTTTGGATTACAATTTAGAATTTCCCAGTGATAACAACCCTGGTGGGGCACAAAGAGGAAACAAGCAAAGTTCTCCAGTAAATCAGAATTTAAAATGTTAAAATAAGTGTGCTTTGTGTTTAGATTTATAATTATCTTTCTGTAAAGGCTGAAGAGATGATTTTGACAGGAGGCTTGAAATCTCTCCTTCCCCATGTGCTAAGAAGAATAATTCGATGCAACAGGCTCAGTGTTAGTAATACCTCTGGAATGGCAGAGGGTAAGTAAACCTAACAGCTCTAAGTGCAAAAGTGACTCTGTTTTAGATTCATAGCTATGTGTTTTCTTTTTTTTGTTTGTGAAGGAATGTAGGAATATTAAAAGCACTGAAGTAAAACAGAAGAAAATTTGAAGTCGACTTATGTGCTTAAGTCACTTGGGTGTTTGTGAAATCACATTGTAAGCACATGACACTGTGCTCTTAAATCACAAAGCTACGTCAGAGACAATATACCATCCTAGCTGTGTAAAGTGCATGGACTTTGTTTTCAACGCTTGCAGTGCATCCCTCAGCTCCCAGTTATGTCACTGAGAAATTATGGCTGCAGAAAATATTTGAAAAATCTTTAACCAAATCTGGCTTTTCTTACATATGCTATTATCACATTTGTATGATACCATACTATGTTCTTCACAGAGACCTTGCTTTTCTTAGTGCATTGGGTACACTTTGGGGAAGAATTAGAGACACATGGTTACAGAAGTGCATTCTGCTTCATTTGTTGCACAAGTTGGAAGTTACTGACTTGTTAAGACTGGAAATTTTAAGGGGGAGGGAAAAATAGTTTTATACTCGGATAACTGAATGCATTCTGAAAAATTCATTTCTGTCGTGCCTCTCATAGCTGGACTTTTACAGAAGCAAAGAAGTCTGTGTCATTGTTCTGATCAACTTTAAAATGTAACTTTACTAAAAATACTGTGGCAAGTAGCTGATCAACAAAGCTGTGTGGAGTAGCATTATTATAGCGTAAAAATGTTAAGAGATTTTATAGAAGTGAGTCTTGAAATTATGGTTTTCTTTTCTATCAGTACATAGGTTGAAAAATACTAATTGAAAACATGTTATAGTGCTAGTAATCTGCAGTTTGCCCCAAGTGTATTTTTAAGTGCATGTATTGCTGCAATAGTATTATGTGTGTTAATTTTATTACATACAAAACAAGTTTATGCTTCTAGCCATAAGCATACAGCGCCATTATGCAAAGACTAAAAAGACCAGAGTAATTGGAATTTCTTGGAATCCTCAAAATTATGTTGTTGAAATAATTATTTCGTAATGCCATCATTGTCAGTCGTCAAAGAAATTAAAAACTCTTTCTAAATTTCCCTGAACAGGGGCATGACTGTGTTGAATTAATGTATGGGTTGATCAGCATGTCCAGCTTCACTAACATTGCTTGTGAATACATTCATGAGAGATACATTATGCAAGTATATAGGTAAGCTGACATGGGAAGGGAAAAATGTATTTTCCTCTGTAAAGAAAGTAAGGATAGTTATCGGCAGGAGCAATTCATCTGTCAAAGAGTTATAACAAAGTTTCCTGACTTCAGAGAATACCTGAAAGTTACCTACAGATTCACTCTGTCAGCTGTGAGTAGTATTGTAAATTCAGTGTTGTCTGATTGAATGCACTAAAACAATAATTTTAAGATTTTGTGAATGTCACCAGCAAAGTAGAAAGCGTGTGTGGATTTCACATGGACAGCAGAGAATGAGGTTAAGGGGTAACTGAATGTAGTATTTTATTCAGTGGTGAATTTAGTATGTTTATTTAACAAAAATATATTTCTGTATTTAGCAAGAAACTATTTCTGTATTTAGTAACTTTTGCCAGTAATAAAATGAATTTTTGTGCTGAGTACTCCCGAGAGAGCAGTTTGTGGGCACATTCAGTATGCAAATACAGGCTTACCTCAGCCCTTGCTTTGCATTTTTCCATCAGGAATAGAAGTTTATCTTTTGATTTCTTTGTTAGCTTTGATGGAGAGTAAGATTTGGCTGATTTTCTACAGCCTTTTAAGGCAGATCATTGATTTCAACTAAATTGTAGCTTCTTGGATGAGAGACTACCACAATATTTAAGAAAGTGAGAGCTTCTGTTGCCTGCCTGACATCAGATATGGTAATAACTTGTTAAGACAGTATCAATACAGAACTTAAGGAACTGACGGTTTTATACACCACAGACTAGTTGTACTCCAGATTTCCTCTCTATATTTGAACAGCTGGTACTTACATGCAGGAAAATTAAAATGGCATTGGTATTAACTACTACTGTTTAGAAAATAAATTTTTGCTAAATAATGTGAGCTTTCTTTGTTGATATTCGCTGCAAAAATGTCCATGCCTTTAGAAGCTATTGCATGGTAGTAGTCAACAACCTTATAAATCAAAGTTGATTCCAAGTGAAGAAAGTGTAGCAGTTCTGTTCATTTTAGTTTTTTAAATTAGAAATAGTAGAAGTGACTGAGATTCACTGTGACAAGCAAGACTTTATTCCTGCACTGTAATTAAGTCTGGTAAACTGCAGCCCACAATAAAATTCCGTAGCCAACAAACTATAAAGAATGGGCTACGTAATGTCAGGACACCGGGAGTTTACTGCTGGACTGGCCATGATTTATAGCTTGGTATTAAATGAAAAAAAATGGTGAAAGTGTGGTATGCAATAGCCTGTCTGGATGTGTGTTAATATTTTCAGAAGTAAAGCATTTTCCCATAGAATACTAATTCCCCAGGTTAGGTAATATATTATATTTATATACAAATTTATAGAAGTGTTTATTAAAGTAATTGTGCTGGCTTCATATTCTAGTACTACCCATGTCTGCCAACTATTTTAGCTGCGAACAACTTCACATACAGAGTATATCTAGTTATAATCTAAAAACATTTCAAAAAGTTGTTTCAGAATTCTGGATTAAAAATTTCCTTGAGGTGTTTTTTTGTAGAACATCAATAAACATCTATATAGAAAAGCTATTGTTTAACAAACAAAAAAGCTGAATTAATAACCAGTCATTCCTATTCCTACCTTACCCAATTTCAGGCTATAAGCAGGCCAACGTTGTGATTTTGCACAAGTCCCTGGCTGATGACTTTGAGAAGTTTTGCCACGCAAATGATGGACCCCTGCCACTGCTGTACAGAAGTAAACCGGGCAATTGGTCATGTCCTTCTCTGAGCAGTGGTTCTGATATCAGGTAACTATGGACCGACTCTGCTTCTCAAAGTTCTGCAGTGAATGCTGGTGGTGATTAGGAAGGTTTCATGGAACAGCCTGCTCCCACTGTCGTACATTTTGAACAAGTTTCTTTTCTTGGAGTTCTACCTTTGAATGAAAACTGTATGCGAGTATTACAGCCTAATCGTGTTGTTCTTGAGAAACAAGTTATGATAGTTGTATTACAAGTATTTCTGTACTGCAAAAGTGAAATTGTGTAGTTTCTAAATATTTTGCTGTCTGAGCCAGCAGAATTAAATAATAGGGTTTTACCTTTGTTTTATGTAGTAGTAACACAAGTGACCACATGATATTTGTAGGGTCTCTGTAATTTAAAAGATGCACTCCTGTAGTGAACACTAAAAACAAGTCCTAAAACATCTCCCTAATTTTTGAAGCCCTGAGACAAGATACACATAAGGGACATTTACCTATAAAACCTAAAAAATACCAAACTCTAACATATTCTGTTTACTGGCTTGGTTTTGTGTTGAATAGGGTGTTCCATGGTTTTTGCATGTGTTTATTCCATTGTTACTCAGAAAGAAAAGAAATGGATAAAGTAGGCTGTATCTTGTGATTTGATACTGGCTTAACATCAATTCAAACAATTCACCTCATTTTCAAAGATGACAAAGCTGTGATAATTTCCTGTTTCACTAGAAATGACTGCCTGCAGTACAGAATATACGAGCACGGAGCTTGTACCGGATCACTGAAAAGCCTAGAGGAGTATTCTGAGCAACTGAAGGACATGGTGACATTTTATTTAGGCTGTAGCTTCTCTTTTGAAAAAGCAGTCCAAAACGCTGGCATTCCCATAAGAAACATTGAGCAAAAATGTAATGTAAGCATGTATAAGGTAGGTATATGCACACACATAGCCTTTGTTTTAACTTTGCCTGTGAGTATTTGTCTGTGTTCACATTATGTGCATATACCTGTTGCTCAAAATCAGAAATTTTTTTTCTACCTGCATAGTAACTTTAGGCGTGGGCTAGTGCTGAGTGCAGAAAAATACAGAGTAAAATATGGTAAACCTCAGTGCAGTGCTTTTCTCAACTTCCTGCAAGGCCAATCTGCTTTTTTATTCATTTATGGGAACAAAGTTTTTCCTTGTTTGCTGTGGCAGCCTTTTCATTTGGATTCTGTTCAAATTTGCCTTCTCCACTCCAACCGATGACCCACGCACTATCCTGACAGAATCACAGAATGGTAGGCGTTGGAAGGGACCTCTGTGGGTCATCTAGTCCAACGCCCCTGCCAAAGCAGGGGCACCCACACCAG